TCGCGTTTCTGAAACGCGAAAACATCTTACCATGAGGAGATTTCACGTTTTAGAAACGCGAAAACATCTTACCATAAGGAGATTTCACGTTTCAGAAACGCGAATTTGGGGATACAAGTGGTTTCGCGTTTCTGAAACGTGAATTCTTCTGGGTTAAATCCCAGTTTAGCGAATTCTGAAACGCGAATTTGGTTTCTTTCTTTCCCGGTGGCCGGCGAACTCCATAGAAACCGGCGAATTTTCCGGAATTGTTGCCGGAAGCGAGTTTCGGCATCAATTTTTTGCATTTTTTGGGCTATATATCGAGGTAAGTTGCTATTTTGCTCTCATTTAATCGTTTCTCCACATTCTCCACATCATTCATCCCATCAGTCTCCACATCAGTCTCTCCATCATTCTTCCCCGACCCAACAGGCGTTTTACCGTCCCATTATGTCTCCCCAGCACCAGCAATCCCATTTTGCCTTCACTCAGATTTCCTCCCCTCAGACTTCTCAACCTCAGTTTGGAGATGCTTTTATTGACTTTTCTGGGTTCCAGTAGAGTTCTCTAGATGGCCAGTCGATACATTACACGAGTAACTTTCTTTCGAGTATGTTCGAGGGTGTTGCGGATCAGCATCAGGCTGATGACCCAGCTGGAGGTGAGCCTGAGGATGAGGATGAGGATGAGGCTGAGGATGCAGACCAGCATGATCAGTTTGAGGGTCAGGGTTATCATCGCCATGAGGAGCAGGGATCGAGTCAGACTCTAGGGACTCCACCGTTGGCTGAGTAAAGGCCAGAGAGTGACAAAGGAGCCCGATAGATTGACTTATAGCCATTTTCGGGCTAAAAAGCCCAAGAAGAAGTAGGGTACTTGACTTTTTATGTAGTATTATTAGACTTGTATTTTTTTTTTCCTTTTGTTATGACTTGTTTTTTTTTTTTCCTTTTGTTATGACTTGTATTAATATTCTTAAACAATGATTCACCTGCATCAATGCTACTTTATTAACATTTATCAAACACATCTTCGCCGATCAAATCTAAAAACAAAAATTTTATTTTATTTTAAACTATATTTTATTTTTTTAATAATTAATAATTGCTTCATCTTTTTTTTTTAAAACAAACAGCAAAGTATTTAGTTTATCCAAACAAAAGATGTAATTCTTAGCTCTTACATACCAACCGTCTATTAAAATTATCACATCCACAAAAGGATAGTACCAGATACCTAAAACAAACATTCAGTAAACTATAGTTCTCTTCAAAATTAAGATGCGGTGCATTAAACAATCGCATTGGCAACACTCGCAATCCTAGGCCAAAGATCATCACACTCCTTTCCAATGGGACCACTGATTGCAGAACCTTTCATTTTTCCCTTGGGATTAACAATCACTCCAGCATTATCTTCAAAGTACATGTAGACACCGTCCTTTCGGCGCCATGGCTTGCGCTGGCGGACAATGACTGCAGGCATGACCTTCTTCATGAGATCGGGCTTACCTATCTTGACGGTGGCCATAACCATGTCACTGACGCAAGCAGTAGGGAGACGGTTTGAGCCTACCCTTCATTCCCTTCACTGAAATGATGTAGAGGTTCTTTACCCCGGTGTTGTCGGCGCAATTCACTGTCACAGCCACTAGAAGACCCAGAGACATCCTGAACTTGTTACCCGCCGATCCTCCGCGTCCTTACTTCGACATTTTTGCTGTCTCCCCTGTGAGGTTTCCGCAGAACAGAAAATACTTGCTTCATCTTAAGCGTTGGTAAATTATAATAAATATTTCTTAAAATTTATTCATATTTTAAGCTTTTTTCTTATATTTAAACCGTCATAATTAATATAAACAATTTGTAAATTAAATTACATCTAATTAATATAAATCCATAAAATTACATCATTTATCATTATTGAACATTTTTCATATCAAATTATTTTATAAAATAATGATTAATTTTTTAATATAATTTTTAAAAAATTTTATAAATTATAATAATTATTTCATAATTTTAATAATTTATATTTAGTATAGCTCTATTTAATTTAATGAGTATCAATTATATTATTATATTCATATCAAAATTTAATTTCTTATTATTAAAATTATCAATATAATTTTTCTATTAATAATTTTCTTCTTTATAGCTCTATTCAAAATTTAATGATTATCAATTATAATTTTAAAATTTTCCTTTAATTTCATTATTAAAATTTAATAATTTTTCGAAGTAAATTTGCCTACAATTTTTTAAACTATGCAAATTAATTGAATTTTTATGACTATTTTCTTTTCTTGTTTAAATAAAATATTCTTTTTTATTGTTTTCGCGCTTTGAAAACGCAAAAAATAATCTTTTTTATTTATTTCGCACTTTGAAAACGCGAAACTTTATTTAATCAAATTTTTTACCGTTAGTTACTTACAATTAAGTTAAATTAATTAATATAACCTATTTTTAGTGTTTCTGAAACGCGAAAATCTTCTTTTAGCGTTTTGAAAATGCGATTTTGCCAATTTTCGTGTTTTTGAAGTGCGAAAGAATTAGTTTTGGGGACAATTGAAACCCTAAAACTATTTTATTCTTCAGTATTTTTTTTAGATACATATAAGTAATTTTTCCCTATTAATCGCAGCTACCTAACACAGAATATTTCAGGAACGCGAGAGAGAACATATGAAATTAACCCTAATTGGGGAGGACGTTTATGAGGGCCTGAGGGAAGAAGAAGGACAATAATAATATATACGTAGTTGATGTCTTCATGAGGCTATCAAAACATTGATTGCTTGCTGCAGAAAACATTAATTGGTTTTCTACATCTGCATTCGAAAATCTTTTAGTGTGTCCTTTTGTTGTTGTGAATGTAAAATCATATATTGAGATTATGAAAAAAAAAATGTGTCATAAAGTTAAATATAGTAATTAAAAGTTTTAAAAATATCTAACAAAAACCTACTAAAAAAGGAACCGTACATATATATAATAATAACAGCAAGGAACATTAATGACCCAAGAGAAAAAATAGATTTTGAAACCCAAAAGCGAAGTATTTATATGATTTATATTATATGTACTGGGACGAAAACTTAATAGTTGAAAATTGTTACAAGTTGAAGTTAAAGTTGAAAATTTGCTCCTTTTCCATCTTTGAAAATGTTCATATTTATATATTTAATTGATGTCATTTTCATTTTCTCATCCACTAAATAAATGTCCTTTAATTTATTGTTACGAAAAAGAAAATCCTGGAATTATATTTTAAAAAAATTCATTTGTCGATCAATGCCTTTGGTACAGGGAACTAGATTTTCAAAGCTAACAATTGAGAGTAGACTGTAAAATTAGTCAACTGATTACTCTGGACCATTACGAAATTTTCTTAACCAATACTGTGATCCATATTTCAAAACCATGGAAGTCTAAATCATCAAACAGGAGTCTAACGACTCTCATCCTATATAAAAAAGTTGTAATTAGTGGAAAGGATCTATCAACTTTTCACCAAAGGTCAAGTGTACGTACTCGAATGGAACAGTACATTAATCTTTTTTACTCCCTCCTTCCCATAATTATTGTCCAATTTGAATTTTTATTTTTAGTTCAAATTGTATTAAAAGTGAAATCTCAAACTGGACAATAATTTTGAAAGTACCAGTTATTTTACTCAATAAGATTTTTACAATTTAGCGACAGACAATAAACAATGTGTGATATGAAAAAGTAGTTTATAGTGAAACAAATAATATTTCTTAAAAAAAGAAAGAAAGGAAAAGCTTCTGGCTGTGATGAAATCTCGAATTTCTACCAACTTTATATGTCACGGGTTAGTACTGTGTACTTTGACAAGAAGAGATATTTGATTTCCTCTTACGTTTGTTCCAATATGTATCACAAAGTCTTACGTTGGATTGAAACTATATGTACCATAAAAGCATTTTGGCTAGTTACTTTAGCTCCATTGTTTCTGTTGCTTTTTCCAAATATATGTAGCTTTTGTGTGGTCGTCCTTAGTTAATTTGTACAGATATTTTGAGGTGGATGAATTTGGAACTTACAATATAATGCATTATATAATGCCATACATAAAATTTAGAAATTACTTGTGTATTATTGTTTCTGGAACTACATGAGACACTGAAATAAAAATCATAGTAGCTAGTTGACAAACAAATTTACTACTATAAGGGGGGCCTTATATTAATCTTTCTTTTTTATAAAATGCAGGAAAGTTCATGAGATTGGCAGCCACAAATGTAGTACGTTAAAAACTTATTGGTCCTGATTATTGGGGATCAAATGTTGAGGTCACAACCTATGCCTTTCACCAGAAGCTCTAAAGGAATCTATTTTCCTCTTTAAGGAAAATCATGATACATTTTCATAGCTGAATGTAATGCTCTTCTTCAATTTGGAAGCGATGATACATATATATATATATATATATATATATATATAGTAGTGCCTCTTATTTTAACTGTTTGTTTTTTATTTTTCACTTTTACAGTTTTTTTAACTAAAAAAAACAATTACGGCAAGTTAAATATTGGTTAGTCATGATGCAATCGGGTCTCGAAATATCATTTTTAATCGCTAAAACTTAAACGTCTCCTTCTATCTACAAAATAAGAGCGGAGGAAAAAAAGGAAAAAGGAAAAGAAGAAACATTATGGCAAGTTTATATTGTTACATCAAAATTTGAATAAAACTCGAAACTTTCAAAGGTTGGAAAACAAACTACAAATTCGGTAAATATGAAAGCAAAATGAGTATTTGATAGAGAAAATTAACAATATTACTATCTTTTTATACTCCCTCTGCCTAAAACAAGTTCACATTAGTTTTGAAATTTGTATTCAAAATAGTCTAAATATGAAAATTTAATGTGGATTATTTTTTTAGACAGATATATTATATTTTTTGGAGTCCAAATTAACCCTACACTGACCTGTTGTAACCATGGTAAAGGGCAGCAAAAAAGATGACAAAAACGAATTCCTTAGTTCTAAAGTTACTAGTATGTGACTATGCGTTGATGATATGAGAACTAAAAATTACTGAACTTAAATCGAGAGCTCCAATTTCCGACAAATTATCATCTTGTGATTTGAGCTAGCCAAAAAAACACTGTTATTTTTCGTACTCTTAGAGGAGCATCGATCGTGGGCTCCACTTCTATCAAATGCTACTACTAGTAACTTTCATTGTGAAAATTGAAAGGATTTCTTGAATTAATTTGCGTTGGGAATCGCAGAATGGGGGTGCGAATATCAATTTCTAGCTGTCTAATTTTACTAATCCGTAAATATTGTCAGCATCCGATGAATACACAAATTAATCTTAGAGGGTAAAGACATGAATTGATGTTTCATGCAAATGTAAAAATTCAGCAGGCCGATTGTAACATGAGAAAAATAGGATTTAATCCGACATCTTCCAGTCGCACTTGATTTAATGTGTCGTCTCCATCAAGTCCAAACGTCAGTTTTGGTGTAGAGTGTCAAGATATTATAGAATCGAAATAAATTAAATTTGGAATTCTAAAATGGTAGAAGCTGAAATTCAATGCTACAAATTGAAGTAAAAAAAGGCTTTAATAACGTCAAATACTTCATTTGTCACACAAATTATATGGATACAAAATAAGATGGATTGAGCAGATTCACTCAAGCCCTATTACATGGAAGCATTCTTAAACAATTATTGAAGAAGCACAACTTCTCAAATCTGAAAACCAAAATATAACAAGGGTGAACAAACAAGCTAGAAGTAATAAATTAACCACTAAATGTGGAGGAAAACAAAGCACAAATATTAGGAAATAATAATCATCAAGAAGGAAACCTTTGCAAATCGAAAGCAAATTAACCAGGAACATCATTGATGGATGGATGAGATTAAGGGCATTCGAACCCAGTTGGGACCTTCTTGCCACAGTTGTTGAGGATGACACTGAGGGAAACTGGAATGTTGAGGTTGATGCCCAAAACATTGGCCTTAATGGCAGTGCAAAGGCAAAGAGCAGCTTCAAGATCAGCAAGGCCTTGAATGAGAGAGCAGCAAGGTTTTGTTGGAGGGCTTCCAAGGACGACATTAACAAGACCAAGCAAATCAGCACAGGCTGCCAATTTTAGGGTGTCCTTAGGGCATTTGCCCCCATGAGGCTTAGGGGAGGGTGGTTTAGGGGTAGGAGCCTTTGGTGGTGGTGGGCATGCAGGAGGAGGCTTTGGCTTGGGGCAATCACCACAAGCATTCACTAGGGTAAAAAAGATAAGGTTTAGGGCAAGGAAATAGGCTAGGGAGGTGGTGGCTTTGGAACCCATTTTTTTTAAAAAAAAAAGCTTCTGCAAGTAAATATGCTTTTGCCTTCTTTCTTTGTTTTTTTAAGTGAAGAGAGAAGGCTTCTTTTTTTTTTTTCACTTGCTTTGGGATGGGAAATGTTTGGGGCAAGTAAGGGTTTTTATAGTGAACAAAGGAGGGTCATGTTTCTGATTGATGTTGAGGATATACTAATAAAGAATGGGGCAAAAATTATTGGGGTCCATTTTTGCTAAGGAGATTTGAGCTGGCAACACAAAAACACAGATTTGGGAAACCAATTGGATTCCTGCATGTGGGTGTGGGGGAGATTGCAAATTGCAAATTGCCAATTGCCATGTTCCTAGATGCCTGAACTTCAAATCCAGACATCATTTTGTGTTATGTATACTCTTAGTTTAGGCCAAATAGTCTCTCAGGTACATGTATAATTCAATCTGATCGATTTTGGTGTGGACAAACTTTCTAGATCGAGTCTTTTTCTAAAGCCGTTTTGGTATAATACACTTTGAAAACCCTAATGACACATATTAGAGAACTTAACCGTATTAATTACGTGTTGCATTGGAAAATGATAGAGAAGGAATTCCTGCTTAAGCTGCTAAAATATCCGACGACACAAGAACTTTTAGAATCGATCAATTTCAATTCATATATATTTTAGCACAACAAACAAGTAATCAAACTTATTAAAGTTGTCACTTTCGATCCCTCTCTCAATTTTAAGCCCAAAAGAGAGGGTATTGTCTTCAAATTTTTACTCACCATTTGTAGCGAGTGTGTAATTTCGTTAAGCGAAAAAATCACCCTACAAAAAACGTGATCATAGTTAAAAACAATGTGGAAAATCATATTGGTTACAAGTTCCATTTTCAAACAAGCAAACTTTACATTGGCCAAAGAGACTTTCTCATTTGGCGAAAAGGGAATGTGGATTTATGTGCTTTGTTTGGGCGTGTCCGTTCATTATACCACTGCGGTCATTCACAAAGTCAGAAGGTTGGGAAAGAAACAAATTTGAGTGTAAACATAACGTTTACTAACGATACTACACTCTAGTTTTACAAATGAACATTTGTTCTTACTAATTACTTACTTCGCCCAAACTAGTTATCATGTTTGTCGAATTGTCATATTAACAGACAGAAAAATAATTTTAGGACTAAGGAATACTTTATCTGTTATAATAATAATAATTGGCAATCAAAATAAATTGAAAAAAAAAAGGTGATAAGCATGGAGAAAAATGGAAATTGAAAGAACACACATCCAGAGTGCCATCTCCATCCATGTTCATATGCATGACAAGTTACTAGTTGGCTTACTGGTTCACCCAGACTAAGACAGGAACCAGTAAGGCTCTGCAGATGTATGAAGCTTCTATAATTAATTAATTGATTCCCCTGTGAATTTTGATTTACCTTAGCTTGTTGGTTTACTCTATTGACAATCTTTATCAATGAGATTTCAAAAAACTGATCAAAATTTCGATTTAAACACCGCATCTTGATACTAACCCCTAATTAAATGAGTTTGTATAACTCAATGGCGAACAATTTTCGATTTTGGGTCAAGGCAAGTTATTTTTATCGTAACAAATCTCATATTGTGAATCTCAGTGATACTTTTAGGCACCTACAACTCACGGGTATAAATTAAGCACTATTTTATTTCAGTTTTCTTGTTTTGATAGTTGAAAATTTTGAGCCCAAAAAACAATCACATTTTCCGGCTTATCAAGCTACGCATTTCTCATCGTAACTGTTGGGCTGATTGTCAGAAAAAAAAAACACGCAGACACACACTTTCTCACAGTAGTATAAGAAAATGAAAGGTGAAACAAAATTCAATGGAAATGGATCCCAGAGCAAATATTTAAGGTCCCAAGTAAGCCTAATAAGCCAACTTGTGAAGGTAGTGCCAAAAGGTTGAAATAGTTTTTGGCCATAAGGTTTTTCTTCCTTCCCAAAAATGAAGGTTCTGATTTGGTCAAGTCATTCCATACGGCGACTTCGTCGTTTGAGGGCAACAACAGTACCATTCGGCGTAGATATCTCTTCCGGAAAAAGAAGATGAATGTTTTGATTTCACATCTAATTCGTTTATCTATAGGATTTGAAACTATTAGTGAACCAAATTTGTCTACATTTTCCAACAAAGATTCTATCTATTCCTATATGGATGAGGTAGTGATACATACAATAAATAATCTGGAAAAAAAAGAAAATTAACTTTAAAAAAATGATGTGATTATATCTATACCCAGTGTAGACGTGATCGTGATCTTCTGTGCCAGTTTTTCATGACACTTTCAGATGCACTATTCAATAGTTCTATATAAATATTGTCATTGCGGTATTATTTACACCATTCACGATCACTTTCTAAGTTACATATTTTAGAAGTAAAAGTTCACTTTTTTAAAGTTATGTCCTATTTATTTTAATTTTTGCAGTTAAAAAATTTAATAAAAAGAGACAAATTTCATTAAAAAAAAAACTTTGGTACAAAAAAATAAAATAACAATATCAAAATAACCTACAATTAATGAAAATATGTGTTTACAGTATATGTATTAATACAAAGTATACGATTTATAAAGAATAATTAGATGTGTAACAGAGGGTGTTACACAGAATGTCGAGAGGTAAAATAAAATGAAATTACATCTATAAAATTAGAGAATTTTCATTTTTGTCCCTGCAAATTTGTTTTATTAAATTCTGCTCCTATTTATAACAATTCCTAGTTCCCCACTGTGTATATATACTACTATATCCAAGTAATCTTAAATGTGTAAATTATCGGTGTAGTGTTTAAGCATGGAGGCAAGAAATGAAAATGCCATGTTTCTTAAAGTTTTCATTATAAACCACATGGAAATTTTCATTATTTTGCATTTAAATTGAATCTAACTATGCATGTTAAGTATGAATTATTGCCAGTGTAAACACATAAATGCTCGTTTTGATCCAAATAACCAAAAAAAATATAAAAAAAATATATTTATTTTTCTTGATGATAACTTTTTTTACTTACTTATAAACCTGCACTTCATCATAAACAGAATACTAGACGTCTAAAAGATTAAATTAGAACCATAAAATCATGCTAGCTAGGTTCACATTCTCAAAGACTATTTTTTTTATAGTGTTTATTGAGTTTATAATATATATAATGAATTATTTATTGTATATTATGATGGGAAGGGATGATGCCATACGGACGTCATCTTTACACAACCCGCCTAAGAAAAAGTTTAGGCTTTGTTTGTTTGCTTTTTTTATGGTTTTTTCAATTTATTTTCTTAATAACTGTCCCATCCCAACATATCTTTTTACATTTTTAACACACCTTTTTATATTTCCAATACAAAAAAATTTAAAAATATACACTAAAAAAACGAACCAAACATACCCTTAATTTGAGCATTCTTATTTTCAGATGCTTCATATAATCAAATACTAAGATATATAGATGGAAAAAGATATATTGGAAACTGCCACTTTTGTTGGTAAAACACTAGGCATACCAATTAGGGCATTGTGTGTTTATATAAGTCCAGAAGAATGGAAAAATAGATAAGAAAACTTGTTGATAAGGCAGAAAATATTTTCTTTTTTATTCTATAATATATGGAGTATAGACATATCATCACATATCTTTGCAGTGATTGATTCAGGCTCTTTCAGTTCATAGGTATCCTGCCATCCTATGACCTTTTTTTAGGGGACTCAGCTAATTCCTAAAAGATTATAGCATTGTTTATGAATGGTCCATATAATACAAATTATCTGAATCTGGTCCTTCATTATCTTATGGATACTATATATCACAAAATTTTAAGAACTTTTTTTAAAAAAATAAATAAATAAGTACAGTTTTTATATGGCGAGAACGATCAATGTTTCATTTTGCCATTAAAGAATTCTTTAACAGGCGTTCTTAATTATTCGATGAATAAGTTTGTATTTTTTTTATTAAGTGTTTGGTTTCTTGTAAAAATGTATTTTATAATTAAAAAATTTATTGAATCATGGACTGGATACCAGCAATAAGTGGCTTACTAAGTTATAATAAATATAGGAATATATATTGTAATAGATGTGTGTGTGTGTGTGTCGGCAGTTATTTTGCTTCTGCTTTTCGTATTAGAACTATCATGGGATACTTGAAAAAAATTAAAAAAAAAAAAATTGATGGGTAATAAAAGAAAGGGCTTAGCGACTTTAATCTTGAGAGAAACGTTATCTATATATGTATATATTCAAACGTGACAAAGTACAAGATTGTGTGTTTATAATGTTATAGTTGAAGACGGCTCAAAACTTCGTTGGGGTCTAATTTTCTTAATATAAAGTTATTCAAAACAGTAGTTAATTGGTAGAAATCTTAGAGGAAGCAAGGACCTATAAAATGTTTCTTTTGGTCATTATTATAAGATATTTAGATTTGTTCTATTTATTCTAACTGAAAATAAAATTTAAAAAAAATATATATTTTCATATTTATTGTGTTCAATTAATAATTATAAATATTTTTAAAATTTTATTTTCAATTGAAAAAACATGTTGAATGAAACTTTAGATAAATTAAAAATATTTTATAATAAACATAGGAGAGAGTATTTTTTATATTCTTACAAATCCGGTTGTCTAGTCCTTCTGTAACGTCAGAACCCTCCATTCCCTATAAGCATGTTACTCAATTTTTAAATCTTAATATTTGAACTTGTTACGCTAGCTTTTTTTTCTTTTCTTATTTTTAAAAATAGATAATCTATGCCGGGAAAGGCAGTGTTCAAGAACTTAGTTACCTTGATCAAGAAGGGGACATTCACAAAAGTTTAAGCAACTAATGCACTCGATGTATATGAAAGTAAAATAAGTTAAATATATTGTTCGCCCCAAAATAATTATTTAATTTAAAATTCACTTTTAATATAAATTGTATTGAAAATGAATTTCAAACTGAATAATTATTTTAGTACAGAAAGAGTACAAAATCACTTCCACTCTCAAATGAGGAAAATCACGTTAATCTAAAGTTAGCAATAATCCAAGAGTACGAATTGGGAAGGATGCTATTGATGTTAAAAAAAAA